GAACCTGTCGCACAGCTCGTCGAGAGCCTTGACGATTGCATGGCGGCATTTAGAGTACCGAAATTAAATTAACGTTCGGTATTCCTTTTTACTTTTTTTTTTTTGATTTTTTATACTAGATAAATATTTTAATCCACCCATCCAAATTGGTATAGGTCAATGAAACAAACAAGAATACTGACTAAAGTGACTATGTTGTCAGCTGCTTTGTTATAGTTTACTGAAGATTTTATGCTTTACACAATTGAATTTAGGCGACTTTATCAGTGGTAAAATAATCATGATAATTTGTTATACGTGTTCAAATATGTAAATAATGTAAAATAAATTATGTGTATGTAATGAATAATTATTCAATTAGGAAAACGAATTCACTTGTTCCAATCGAAATAATACAATGAAAAAATTCAACTTTCTAGTTAAAAATTCTATAACATATATCTGAGAAAGGAAACAAAATTACCAGCGCATGGCATGCAAAAACTAAGTCTACGTATGGACCACTATATTGTTACTTGTTAGCATTAGTACCAACACTACAAGGTTCTAGAATGAAGCCACGCTCTGAGACCACGCTAGCGTAGAGGCGAACGGATCAATGAAGTTCTGCCCTAGAGTCGCAGCGGCCGCAGCTGAACCCTCGGTGCACCTGCACTGAGCCTGCCTTCCTCTGTCACTGTTTTTTGCCTTACTCGTTCACTCTTTTGTTCGGTATTCTCCCAGGTTCTGAGTCATTAGTTCATTGCCTTGCTCACTCCGCTGTCTCGTTGTCTTGCTCTTTGTTACTGACATCTTTCTGGATCCTCCTAGAACCCATAAACCTCTTCTAGCCTTCCTGCAAGCCTACCGCTCTCTTCTAAACCTTTCTTCAACTACAACTCTCTATCAACCCCAACAATCTCTAACCCTTCATTCAACCCCCCTTATCTTTCAAACATTCCTTCAACCTATCCCTCTCTTGTTAACCTTCCTTTAACCACTCTCTCATTCAAACCTTCCTTCAACACAACTCTCTCATCTAAACCTTTTTTCAACCCCCACCCTCTTTTTCAGACCTTCCTCAACCCCACCTTCTCTTCTAAACCTTCCATCAACCTCTCTCCTTTCTTTCAAACTTTCCTTCAACCCCACCCTCTCTTCCAAACCTTCCATCAACCTCTCCCCTTTCTTTCAAACTTTCCTTCAACCCCACCCTCTCCTCCAAACCTTTCATCAACCCCTCATCTATCTTTCAAGCCTCCTTCAACCCCACCCTCTCTTCCAAACCTTCCATCAACCCCTCACCTTTCTTTCAAACCTTCCTTCAACCTCACCCTCACATCTAAACCTTCCTTCAACCTCTCCCCTCTATTTCAAACCTTCCTCCAACCGCCCCGGCCCCGTCTTCTCAGACAATCGGACGCCTTCTCCGACGTGCGTCTGGCTTATCCTTGAGGCTGACATTTAGAGCGCAGATTTTAATTGTTTTTTCAAGGGAACATTTGATGTCGTGATGAGGGGACGACTACATTAACTGTGTTGTTATCAATTGCTTGTGAAACTCTAAAAAAACTAATCAAGTTAGCTCCACGAGAATGTAGTTATCTCTGGCGATCAAACTTGAGGGACGAACAAGAGCTTAATTTTTTTCTTATGTTTTCGGTAATATCGCAGAATATTGATTATAAGCTTGCGCCACACGCGAATGCTTTCATTGTATTTTTCGCAAAATTGCACCTGAATGACATTATGCTGTAAAAAATGTATTTCGGTAAAATTGTGTTCAGTAATTGAATTGTGTTTTCAGTAGAAATTTATTTAACTGATCCAGTTTAGCAGCGAGCGAGTGCTCTGGCGGAGCTCATTTTCCAGTAAAAATCGAGCGGCCGCCTCTTCCGTCTCCTCTCTGGCTCGGTGCTCCTGCACTTGACTGAGGGCGCCTGCACCGACGCAGTGCAAGCGCACCGAGCCAAACACTGACGCAGTGCAACTGCACCCAACCTTTGATGCAGTGCAGCTGCGCCCAACCAAACACCGACGCAGTGCAGCTGTACCCAACCAAACACTGACACAGTGCAGCTGCACCCAACCAAACACCGATGCAGTGCAGCTGCACCCAAACAAACACTGACCGTATGACCTTGTGAAGAGTTTGAGACTTCCTAGTCCCCGGTCACGCTGATGCGCCGCCTTCGTCGTCCTCCGTCTCCGAGTCGTCGCTAGGCAGGTCACCCCGCCCTCGGATCCCGGATGTAACGTTGGACGTGTTCCGTATATTTGCCCTCCTTTGGGCCAGCTAATGCAAGATGCTGTTGTTTGTTACTTGCTGAGGGTAGTTTCCCATAACTGGACGATCAGGGATCTTTCTCAACCAATTGTCCAGTCCTCTCATGAATGTTGCAAGGGTGAACTCCCCCCTCTCAGCGCTTTTGGCAAGGCATTAAAGAGCCTCGGTCCTACCACAGAGAGCGATCCCTCATGAAGAGTCTGTACTCTGGCCGTGGGTCGGTTATTAAATGGGGAAATCCTGCAGTCTCCCCCTTCTTTCGTTGTAATATGTCACTATTCTGGAGGTCTCACTTTCAAAGTTGGGAGCCAGTCAGTTTATCATCTTCCAAGCGTACAGCCTGTACAGATTGATATACATCTCTCCTCTCCTCTCTTCTCCAGTGAGTACAGTCCCAGGTGTTTCTGTCTTTTCCAGTAGTTCAGGTCCAACTCCCTCATGCCGCTGATCCTGTACGTGAAGGTACGCTGCACTGCCTCCAGTTTCCTCACCGCACCCGCCTTGAGTGGCGCCCAAAGTTGGCAGCAATACTCAAGATTGGGGAGCTCAAGGGCTCTGAAGAGTGTAATCATTGGTGCTGCTTCTCTCGTTCGAAATGTTTGCCAGATCCACCCCATCCGTTGCCGGCTGCGCGCGGCTATTTCCTCGATGTGGGCATCGAACGTGGCTTCGGTACTCATCAACACGCCGAGATCTCGAACTAGTTGCTTCTCCTCAATTTCTGTGCCATCTGATGCCAAGTAGCGATGTGGCATCACGATCTCTGTGCAGACTCTGTATCTCATTACTTCGAACTTGGTGCCGTTGAACTGCATATGTTCACAAGGGCCCAATCGTAGATTGTCGACAAGTCATCTTGTAACCTCTCGCAGTCTAGGTCATCTGTGATCTTCATCAGCACATTTGTATCGTCCGCAAAGACGATGTAGATGCGTGTGCGAGCTCCGAATCGATATCAGCAATGTGGATGAGGAAGAGGATCGGTCCAAGCACTGAGCCCTGCGGAACACCGCTTTTCACCCTCGCTTCTCTCGATTTCGAGTTTACAATTGCGACAGCATTTACTTTATCTGTAAGCCAGTTGTGGATCCACCGTAACAGGCTTTCTGCTACTCCAACAGCCTCAGCTTTCTAAAGAGCACCCCATGGTCTACTTTGTCAAAAGCTTTAGCAAAGTCTAGGTGTACTACGTCCACGTCAGCTCCCTCCTCTAGCTGAGCCACCAGGCGGTGATGGCGCTCCAGTAACTGTGACAAACAGGAACGATTACGCCGAAAACCATGCTGTCCATTATTATAAAGGTCAGCCTCTTCCATATACTGGACAAGCCTCCTGGCCACTATACCTTCTCAAAAACCTTGATCACATGTGAGGTCAAAGTCACAGGTCTGTAATTTTGGGGTCTGTCCCTCGGACCTCCTTTGTGGATTGGCGTTATCATTCCCACTTTGAAGCCCTCATGGATAATTCCCTCCGTCATCGAGGCTTTTCAGAGCATTGTGAGCGGAGCCTTCAGTGCTCCAACACACTTCTTCAGCAACACTGCCGGAATTCCATCGGGTCCTGGCGCTGAAAACGTCGTCAGTTCTTTGCGACTTATTTCCATGTCTTCTGGTCCAAACTCAATATTCTCCAACCCTCTTCCGCCTGGCAGCTCCTGTAAAATTTCAATTTCAATCCCTTAAGTAGCCGGGGCTACTGAACACTGATTCAAACTGCGATCCCAGAAACTCACACATGCCATATTCATCTCCGACAATGACTTCGTTACCATTAAGCGGGCCCACTAGCGTCTTTATTTTAGTCTGGAACTGAGTGCATTAAAAAATACTTGGGGTTCTCTCTGATGACCTCAACAACTCGCTCTTTAGCGGCTTGTTCTTCCATCCTGTGCGAGTCATGCAGCCTGAGTTCGATTTCCTTGTGCAAATCTACTAACCTATGTCTCCTCATATCACCAGTGGATTCAGCTACCTGTATTTCTTTATTTAATCGCTTGCGTTTTCTCATTAGGATTCGTCGGTCTCCCGGAATGCTGTGGACTTTAGGGCCTGTTTTTCTCGGGGTATGACGCACACATGCCTGTGCTAGTTTCTCAGAGTTTTGTGTAGATTTCCTCTGCATTCATCTCGTAAAGCTCAACTCTCCAATCGATTTCGTCATTTTCATTCCAATTTGCAACCCTATCCGTTCTTCGATTGTGGAAGTTAAGTCCTGCTAGTCCCATTGGGGTGTAGACCTGGGCTTGGTTTCAATTACAATTGTCGTTTCCACCATCACTAAGCGATGGTCAGACGAGTAAGGTCACGTCAACCCGAACGTCAACCACCATTCTTTCATTATTAGTAAATATGAGATCGAGAATATTGTGTTCCCTTGTCGGCGACCGTACTTGCTGACTGAGAAAATGTTCCACAGCAAACTTCACAAGTTGGGCTTCTTGAGTTCTGTCGCGGTCGTCGACCTCAAAGGCGTCAGGGCTTGTCCAACGGATTCATGGGAGATTGAAGTCCCCACCAATTATCAGGCTGGGGGCTGGGTCACCCAGTACAGCCACCCTTGTCTCTATTTCCCTAAGGGTTTTGTTAAAATTTTCCGGTGGACAAGCAGGCGGTCTATAGACTATGGCTACGCACAGGTCAAAAATTTTTTTATGTGGAGTAGCTGAAAATAAAATAAATTTTTTTTTATGTGGAGTAGCTGAAATAAAATCTTAGGATGAAATAAAACTCGGTTTTAAAGTAGTTCATAGAAATACATTTAGAATAAAAGGAATGTGCGGGCTACAGGCTTGATAGCAGGTACACGTAGAGAGGGAAGAGTGGCGTCCATCACCTCTCATTTAATATATCATCAGAAAAGCTCAAACGTTAGAACCATATGAAACACAATAAAGATCATTGGTTCAAAAAATTTCTCATCTTCTTACCAAAATAGTCTTGCCAGAACAAACATGGTATTACTTTCACTAATCCCTTTGATACGAAAGTTTCCTGCGGGAAATAAGTCACATTTCGATTGACGGCAAATTGGATTGCGACTCACATTAGGTAGCACCGGTCATGATCTCCAACACAGGCAGTAATCATATCCTTCTGGACGGAACATGATACATGAATCATACATGATAACCATCATTATTTCATTGTAACATTCACTTCAATACAATATCTGTAATTTTACAGAACGATGAACATCACTTTCGAGTGACTGTACCTAGTGCAAAGGACGATCATTCACGAAATTAATGCTCAGATTACTTGACTACCCCGGATGCTACTTATTTATTTCGGCAACAATAAACTATTTTTCGGTTCTGAATAAAGTTTGAGCGGCGTATAGGGTGACGGGGAGACGTTGAGGTCAATGTACACGAGGACAGTATATAGTGGCGTCAACTTTCAAATACTGACCACCACTATTTACCATGCTATTGGCCTCGTGTATTGGCGCTACTGGTAAATGACCAAGTAAACTTTTAAATGAGGCCAGTAGCATGATAATTAGTGGCTATTGGTATTTGACAGTTGTACTGGCGGCCACTACTGGACCTGTGTACAAGGACCATTACACTGAGAGGTCAGGACCAGGGAGGCTAGGCACCCAACACAGGGCTAGGCACCCAACAGGGAGGCTAGGCACCCGCTTTGAGGGTTGACATAATACATGCTTACACCATTTACAATGAGATCAGATCATAGTCTTCCATATCATCAAACACAATTAGACACTTGAGGTAAAGTTCTGTTCCACACGGAGCTAATATCCACATTGTAAGTACATTAGGGCCTTACTAAAAAATCTTTCCGCCTTGCATGATTTTATGTTATATATAATTTAACCTTCTATAGTCTTATATTAATCAGATCAGAGACACGTGAGTATGTCACTTATAACGTGCTGAATGCTGCTACGGCAACACTTATACACAACTAGATGCGGTTCTAGCAAACCTAGATGCGAATGCATGCATCTCGTCGCATCTAGCAATACTAGAAACGATCAGAACGGACATCTTACGTATCAAGTAAGCCTAGATGCGAACGGAACAAACCTCTTCACATCTAGTAATACTAGACACGATCATAACAGACATCTTACGTATCAAGTAAGCCTAGATGCGAACGGAACAAACCTCTTCACATCTAGTAATACTAGACACGATCAAAACAGACATCTTACGTATCAAGTAAGCCTAGATGCGAACGGAACAAACCTCTTCGCATCTAGTAATACTAGACACGTTCATAACAGACATCTTACGTATCAAGTAAGCCTAGATGCGAACAGAACAAACCTCTTCGCATCTAGTAATACTAGATACGATCAAATCTGATATCTTACGTATCAAGTAAGCCTAGATGCGAATGGAACACACATCGTTCGTGTTCTGGAATACTTTGTCATGTCGTAACACCAGCACACGTGAGAAGAACATCACAAAATAATAATATTTCCCTGGAATCTGAGATTCTATACGTAGTAATAATACATCGTCAGGAAGAAATAAATAATGCTGAGACAAATACAAATGAGTACAACGACTTCCGCAGAATATATTAAAATCCTGATATTTTTCGAGATAAACGAGAGGCCGCTCGAACTTAAGGCAGGGACACGGCTTGTCTGCAGATGAAATGACAATTTGTATGTACTACTAGAGAATGCCGAATATTTTCAACCAGCAACACAAAACTTAAGTAAAAGCTGCCTAAATTAAGGAAATGAAAAGTGTATTTCAAATAACAATTAAAATAAGAGTTAGTCACAGGAATAAGAAAACGTCAGAGCTCAGTACTGAGCCAAAAACATAGCAATTAAAAACAGATGAATTTGTCCAGCGCTTCTAATATGGACGAAACAAACACTTGTGAAATATGGAAGAGGTTTGAGCTTAGCCTAAACAAAGACGACGGACACGCACCTACCATACCCTCATTCATTCACCACAATGAATGAATGAGGTTCAATGAATGAACGAATTCAATGAGATTCCAAGACCAACTCCAACGTTTCTCGCAATATTTCCGCGAATCTCGATCAAATTGAAACATATCCTTATAATAATTGAAACAATGGAGTCCAATGCTCTGTAGCAGAAAATATTGGGTGCTGAAATTATCCCATTATAGCCCAAAGTGTATCAAATAGTAAAAATATATGATGACTTAAATCTGTACCTCATTTGTGATTAAATTCGCGCCTGACACAAACTGTGCAGTTTAAAATCCAGGGATGCTTGAAGGCTTAACTTATGGACTCATTAATTACCCTAAGCAAATAAAGCAAGAGTATAAAGAAGCAAAATATCAAAAGCACTATCTATGATACTATTGCAATATAATGTACGGACTTGCACACGTTTCATATCCAACTCTGTAACCTGTCAACATATTTATTGTACTTTGTTCCTTGCCAGCGCATACAAGCTGCGTACCAATACACTTCCTGACACATTTCGCATGTTCCGTTAACATTAAAACTAATACATCTCTAGGATACTATTATAGGCAAGCTCTGAGTTCATTTCCGTATGTGAATTAGGATTTTAGTAGGAAAATTACATGAGAACTAATTAGCACATCATACCTCGAATTCTCAGCCGAGTGAAGTTACAAGACATGGAATAGAAATGTTCGCCTTGCCGTAAATTCTAATTATTCTATCAGATCAACATATCTCGTAAGTCAATGAGTCTGCACAGCAGAAATTACAGATCATCTTGTTATGTAAGAAGTCAAACCCCATATACTTGTGGCAACCAGAGGACTGGTTTCAAAGAGTCCAACTATTTTGCAGCAATGCAGGATTGAATCGCCTTCAATATAACAACACAACTTATCAGTCAATTCAAATTGCAAATCGTCAGCACATAATATATCAATACAAGAGCATATCAGTCATAATATGAACTTACTGCTGCCAACAATCACATTGTTGCCTCACATTTGTAAGCAATTCTTCATCTTGAAATAAGTATGTCGACCAAACGAGTTACGTAGAAACCACATCTTTCCCCTCGAATTATGCAGAACAAAGTGAAGGGACAACTGACAAAGATGTGTTTCGTAATGAAATAAATAATTCAATCCTATAAATTATTCAAGGAGAATAAATTCAGGTAAATTAGGGACCATGTGCATTAAATTATTCGGATAAATCTGAATGATCGGCGGTACGCTTGAGACTTTATACTCGTTGCACGACGACAACAATTATTGGAGTGAAGACAAAAAGTAGCTGGAGTATTAAACAAATTTTACCTCAACGCGTCCGGTTTCAATTTCATCTTGCATGCACGGAACATTTCACAAAAGCTACATTTCATGAAACATACAGGCTTAGCAATATAAAAAAATATTTGGACCCAGAAATTGAATAAATTTTATACTCTGAGAAACCATCCTCGGCGCTTAAAAAATCAAGCTGCCTCATCACAAAAATAAACTAGTGTTTTCGGCAGGATAATAACGAGCTCTGGACGCGTTATGCTTAACCGCTATTAAAAGAAGTGCCAAGCTGCCTGCAGTGAGAGATAAAGCATGGAAGTAGAGAGCTATCGTCCTTCGACTTGCTAAAGCTGCGATATCTTAATACCACTAGCAGTAATGTTGGGAAACATAGCACGTTACAAGACGGGCGACCCAACATAATAATTGTGCCAGCTGCCGGACTTCGTGAGTTAGAATCTTGCAGAAGATCACTGAGAACTATCATGTAGCTCACTATGAGCCATCATGTAGCTCACTATGAGCTATCATACAGGTCACTATGAGCCATCATGCAGGTCTCTATGAGCCATCATGCAGCTCACTATGAGCCATCATGCAGGTCTCTATGAGCCGTCATGTAGCTCACTATGAGCCATCATGCAGCTCACTATGAGCCATCATGCAGGTCTCAATAAACTATCTCTCTGCGCATATCTTGGCGACGCACTCGAGGGCGGCAGCGAGGTCATCAAAGACGGGCACGCCGTCCTTGCGGGCCAGGTCCGTGAGGTAGCTGCGTCCGCGGTTGTAGTCCTTCGTCGCGTACTTGGACAACTGCGGCGGGAGGTACAATGAGTGATGCATCGTAGGTAAAATAGTCACTTTTCATACAGACAATATCTAGTATAGACAATATCTATACTAGAATCAGGATAGATAATAATGAGTTTAGCACAAAATTAACTGACGGAAGACATTCACTGTTAAATATCATCTCAAAAAATCTTATGTAACCACGAATACCATTATTTCATTTAGGTTACATAAACTGCACGTAGCTCGGCTTCGTTCCATACCGTACCAAATTTTTTGGGAACTAAATACCGAGACTATTTCTTATAAAATGCGCACAAAAAGATCTTATGGGAAAGATTAATTCGTCATATTTCGGTAATACGAACAAATACTTACAAACTATGTAGTCTATCGAGACTGTGTAACTCACCATCTCCCCGTCCACTGGACTACCCACGGTCAAGTCTTGTACGCAGAGCACAACCTTGCGACCCAACCCGACGTAGTGTGCAGCCTGCGCAATACAAGTTAATTATAATTAATGACAATGATTATTGTGAGATTAATTAATGACTAATGAGAACACAAACACGCAGAATCAAGTAAATAGATACATTAGAAACGATAATCTTTTAAATAGAAATGCCTTGTTGTTGCTGTGGCATTTATTTGGATACCACCAAAGATATATAAACAACCCGTAATAACTCAAATGCTGGATGATTCAGCTCCTATCATTTAACATGGAACACAACAACGTATTCATTAACACCACAGAAATATTTCCCGTCTGAGCGCCGGCGGGTAAGGCCGTTATCTTCATTCCTCTGACCTCGCTGTCACATTTCACAGTTTGTACTATAATTTCATTTGAATTATAAAAAATGGGAGAGTACTTTCTAACTTTCCATTCATATGATTCGTGTAAACTGGTAGGATTAATTTACAAGTTATAAACGTACCATAGCCATGGCAGAAACACTTCTAGTTTTATTAGAGATGACAAACAGCAGAACGTGACACTTGTCAACATTGGCAGCTTCACTCGGCAACAGCCGTCCGTTTCCATCAAGAACTTCAGGACAAAGGCAGGCACATTCAGAGGAATCGGTGCTTACTTCAGCAGACATTTTTCTGCAGTTGTTCACAACACTCCGACTGTTCTTTCTTCTGTCGGGTGACGTGTTTCTTGGTAAACTGAATTCCCCCGTGACGCTAGTTCTGTTTTCATCCACGACATCATGGGAATTTAACGAAGACCTTGAAGAGTTGGAGGCAACGCGCGAAGAGGAGTTACAGTGCATGACAGGATATTTCTGCACTGGAAGGCAGCTATCCGCCTCCCGAGGGTTGGAGTTCGAGTGTAAATCAGGGGAAACCGGAAGCTCAGTATTGGAGTTTGTGTGAGTAAATAACTGATTATTGCATTGGTTGTTGATGCAGAACGGGGAACAGAATGTCAGGCCGTGTTTACGCAGGAACGGCTCGGCGACGTCGTTGCGCCATGCGTCGTGTTGCACGTAAGTGCCCCCGAGGTAAACGTCCACGGGATGGACCGGCCCACCGTTGACGGTCTTGTGGGTGGGCGCCACCACGGGCATGGCCGCCTCACGCCGCGCATGCCGAAGAGAACGCCGGGGCGATGAGAAGCCTAGAATATAAACTGAGTAATAATATAGTTGAACCACTTAAATATAAATATATTTATATAGAGTCAAGTTAACAATGTTACGCTAAAGAGTAAAAAATCACTACGTAGTAATCTTCAAACAATGAATCGTTCAGCGAACGAAGCGTTAATGTCACCACACGCTGCCACTAACCAAGGGCGCGCTGCAGGGGCGTGACGACGCTGTTGGTGAACACGTCCCTGATGCGGCGCAGCTCAGCTCTTGGCTCGCTGAACTCAGCGACTACGCAACTCAGCTCCTCCAGCGTCAGCGTGACCTCCTTCAGCGCCAGCTCGCTGCTGTCAACGCTCACGCTGCTGCCACTCACTCCTGACACAATCAGGAATTTTATATTTCAATGAAGGAGCAAATAAATATTCTTATACCTTTTTTCTTCGGATACATTAGGCCATACATATTATTTATATCGTAAGCCTTCCATATTATTGATTTCACTAGGCATAATAACGAAGGTAACAATCAGTTAAAAAATTATTAACAAGGCTTCACCTCTGCTGACGCAAACTCTCTACTATTCACTAGTACAGTGCCGCCACTAACGCTCTCAATGTACGCAAAATTCAAAGTTTCCTCCCCACCAATGATGGTGATACGTAATCAGGAATATTGCGCTTAGTCTCACTATTGGACTGGAAGAGTCTCACCTTTCTTGCTTTCTTGGCAGCGATGATGGTGATATCAGGAATATTGCGCTTAGTCTCACTACTGAACTGGACGAGTCTCAACTTTCTTGGCATCGATGATGGTGATATCAGAAATATTGCGCTTAGTCTCACTATTGAACTGGACGAGTCTCACCTTTCTTGGCAGCGATGATGGTGAGCAGTTCCTCCTGAGACAGAAGTCTGCCCGTGACGGAAGAGAAGAGTTTGCTGGCCTCCCCCAGGGACACGACGGCACGACCACGGTACGCCGTCTGCAGCTTCGTCAGGTTAGGGCTGACGTGCAGCTCAGGGTGGCGCACGAGCGTTACGTTGTCGCACGCGCCGAGCTGCTGCGGCCAAATGTCTTCGCGTAGCACCTGGCAAAATAATGCAAGCATAGATTTTTTATCTGGCGATCCTTTTAAACGTAGAATAAAGTATATTGTTTGGCAAACAGCATGGATTTTTTATCTGGCGCTCCTTTAAAACGTAGAATAAAGTGTATTGGTTGGCAAATAATGCCAGCATGTATTTTTTATCTGGCGATCCTCTTAAACGTTGAATAAACTATATTGTTTGGCAAATAATGCCAGCATGTATTTTTTATCTGGCGCTCTTTTTAAACGTAGAATAAAGTATATTGTTTGTAAAATTGCATAGTTCATTAAACAAGAATTCCAGATATAAAAAAGGATTTATTTCATACTTGGTTCTTCATTCGATGGCACATCGAAACTATAGTGTACCGGTAACGTAAGTATCATGCATGCAAAGAATGACGAATATGAAATATTATTGCATGAAATTCTAACAAATTGCTCACCTTAGCAGTGCAGGAGAGCGCGTGCGGCAGCTGCGAGAAGACAGGAATGCCGCGACGCTCGACCAGGTCTTGGACGGTGTTGAGGCCTCCTGAGAGCTCCTCGAACTCCCTGCCGTACAAACACACAATAAATACAAACATTCAATTAATACAAACACACAATCAATACAAACACACAATCATTACTACACTTTTGATGGTAGCTCCATTCATTATTTACGTAGTCGGTAATGAATTGGTGATTGTATTTAGGCTACTAATTTTACAGCATGATAAATTTAACAAACACTTTTAATGAGTTCGAGGAAAATTTAAAAGTACAATGATAAAAAGCTTGTAATGTAATCTAAAATCCAGCAACGCTAGATATTTTTATTCATTTCATCGTTGTAACAAAGAAGAACTGTAGAATGAACTGTACGCTGTACCAAATTTTGACAAGGCAGTGTTCCCGTTTATTTCAGACCTAGATAAAATGTCCTCATAAATGCCTCTTTATGCTTATAAAACATTTCATTTACCTTTACAAAATCCTCTTCCTTCGTGTAAACATTTCCTGCTGACCTTACAAAGACATAAAGATAAGATCTCGCCTACCTCTTGCTCATAGGTTCTCCCTCGATGATGTGTCCAGGTCCAGGATAAGTGTCCAGCACTAGTATGATCTTCCTGGGCAGCGCCGCCATGTAGGCAACCTCGACCATGGACGCCACGTTGCGCGTCCGGCGGTCAAACACGAAGAATAAAACTGACGCCGAGCTCTTGGCTTGGTGCTCGCGCTCCAGTAGGGCTTCTTCCCAATGTGTAACTTGCTGCATACAACACAAAATTACATTAATTACCGTATTGACTAATATTTCATTTTCAATTTATATTTTATAAAAATTTAAAATTGTACGAGAAGCGCTTTTTCCAGTGTGTAACTTGCTGCATGCAACGAAATTACATTAATTATTGACTAATATTTCATTTTTAATTTATACGGTATTTTACAAAGGTTGCGCCTCCGTCCAATTCTGCGTACGAATAAAAATTGTATGAGAAGCACTTCTTCCCAGTGTGCAACTTGCTGCATACCACACAAAATTACATTGATTATTGACTAATATTTCAATTATAATTCATATTTTACAAGGGTTGAGCCTCCGTTCAATGCTGCGTACGAATATAAATTGTATGAGAAGCGCTTCTTCCCAGTGCGTAACTTGCTGCATGACACAACGAAATTACATTAATTAGTGACTATATTTCGTTTTCAGTTCATATTTTACTAAAGTTGTGCCTCCGTCTAATGTTGCGTTTGACCAAAAATTGGATTGGAAGCGCTTTTTCCCAGTACGTAACTAGCTATATATTAAAATTAAAAAAAATTAAAATTAGATTAATTATTGACTATATTATATTTTTAGGTCATGTTTCACAAGAGTAGCTCTATTAGAAGCAATATTAGAGCTACTTCACTTATAAATTACGAATACTGGATGATAAAATATATTTCTATGAGATGAACTAGACAATAGCCACAAGCTCACGGGATTATAGAAGGAGATGCCGAGGGCGCGCAGCGTGGGGATGGCCACATCCTGACGCCACGACGTAGGATTGCAGGAACCGCCTAGGAACACTTCGCATGGCGCTGTTTTCTCTGCAATGCAACATGCCAGTTCATGCATAATATTGTGAGTGAAACAGCACTCTCTTATTATTAAATGTATTTTAGTGGTACGTACGGTTCTTGCTTCTTATTATGACCTTCATCACAAACTTTCAACATTGTTGGAGGGACTATACGTACTTCCACTTCAGAATTTTTACACCCGAATAAATAAATATTTTTTTTTGCATTCTTGGAGTCCAATCTAAGCTGCATAGAGTCTGATTTAAGCTAGACATTAATTCACTCAATTCTACAATTAAATCTAAAGCTTAATCAGGCAAAAACCTACGTCAGCCATAGCAAGTGAAGTTGATGCACGTCTCCAAGAATCATCACGATAAAAAGAATTTAGACCTATATAGCAATGATAAAACATTGTGAGAGATGAAATAATTCAATAAAATATTGCAGTGCGTCATATGCATTGGAAGGAAGAAGGCACCCACTTGCAGTGATGGTAGCGGGGTCACCGGGTCCGCGGTCCGAGCACTGCCGGCTGATGAGCGGCGGTGGGGGCGGTGATCTGGCGGGGGGAGGAAGGGGGGCCGTCATATGGGGCGGGGGAACTGTCATGTCACTGCAGCACTTCACACTAAATTATTATCAATAATCAATATTATTACTAAATAAATCAATCCAGAATTAACCAGGATTTCTCAATACAAGAGAAATCCGATAATTTTCTAAAGGAATGTTATAGTTTAAAAACAAACTTAGGTGAGGGACAAGAGGAATGGAAAGATGAATTCAACAACCTATATAGTAAGCAATTAAATAATGGAGACACAGAAAGGATGAAAATTTACAAGAAAATAAATAAATGGGTCCAGGAGACAAAAAATAAGGAGAAAATTATAATTATATTGCTTACTGCTTGGCATCAGACGCGGCAGGGGCATCATGATGAACAGCCTTTATAGTAGGAGGCACAAATAATTTAATAATAATATCAAATAATAATAAATAATGGAGGCACAAAGAGGACGAAAATTCACAAGAAAATATATAAATGGTGCCAGCAGACAAAAAAATTAATAACAAAATAAGAATTGAATGTCTCACTGCTTGACATCAGACGCGGGAGGCTGGGCACGGTAGCCTCGCTGCAGGTCCGTGGACAGAAGGCAGAACTCGCCGAAGCTGAGGAGGCTGTGCTGATGCGCCGCCCCCGACGCCGGCGACGAGCTGTGGTTGCCCCGACACTCGCGGGCAACGTGCATCATCTCGCACACTGAACAAACATTATACAACATAATACAACATAATAAAACATAATATAACATAGTAAAACATAATAAAACATAATACAAAATAATAAAACATAATATAAGATAGTGAAACATTATAAAATATAATAAACACAATACAAGATAATAAAACATAATATAACATAGTAAAACATAATACAACATAATAAAACATAATAAAACATAATACAACATAATAAAACACAATACAACATAACAAAACCTAATAAAATATTACAAATTCGACACAAAATCTATGAGAAGTACCAATCTAATTTGGAAATATACAAATAGAAAGACGAATACAGTAAACCAATGGGAATAGAAACAAATTTTAATTTTGTACATTTTGGACATAAAAATGTTATTAACGGTTTAATGCGAGCTGCCTGCCCACCGATAAGCCTACCATATTTTCAACATTGAATAGCTCAACATTTTCTTACTCATCTTACTAGCAAGATGCGTGAAGCATAATTATTAAATATCAAATTACGCTCGTGGTACGCTTGCGTGATTTCACGATAAAAGCGACAATAAAGTAAATACAGTAAATAAAGACAGTAAAGTAAATAAAGTACCTAAATGAGGTAATTATTATTGACGAGACGGGGTCACCGAACTATTAATAGCATCGAGTACAAATGAAAACGATAGCCTAGCAGCTGGCATAAACTACATAGTCAAAAGTTCGTTAGGACGGCTATCACCCTGCCAACACGGTATCATGTCTACACAACTGATACGGACGCTCTTTAGCAAGATAAAATACTTATTACTAAATAAACACCCATTATTTTTTTAATAAAACAGATGTCCAGTAACCAAGCACTGCCTGTAAGCAAAGCTCAAGAACTGACACGATAACACACCAGAGGGAAAACCAGTCGGAAAATAACCCTGTTGAACAACATACCTACACATCAGGGGATGTTCCCGACAGTTTATGGCCATTTCGGCTGAGAAAGATACAAGATTTACATAAGGCTCATAAAAGTAGGAGCTCAAAATTAACGCTTAACAAATCAATTGACTAATCAACTTTATTTTCCGCAATATTAGCTTGAAAACGTAAGCCACTGTAGGTAAATCTAATCCAGTATAGACGATCTAATCCTTTAACACGATTATATATTTTAGCGACATGGCGTTGTTGATTTAAAAAAAACCAGCGATATGTTATCAAATATTTAAAAAAGTAAGCTAAAGAAAATGATATCGAACGCCGCCTTAAAAATTCAGGATGACGAACCCCAGCTGAACAAATTCGACAAAATAAACAATATTTGGGTACAACAAAATAAAATATTCTTGTAATTACGCCTTTGGTGTATTGTACTAGATACCCAATCGGTATTTAGGCGCAAGAATGGCACATACACAGCCATATAAATAAAATTTTAAATAAATCTTTACCATTAACCGTCATCAATGTTACTATACCCAAATGCCTGGCAGAAAGAGCTACCGTTAGTATAACGCAGAGTTGAACCTCTGTCACGTATATATACGCATATATGCATCAACCGTCGTCAATGGTATTCGTATCTAAATGCCTAGCAACTAGAGTTTCCGTCAGTAGACAGAGTTGATACTAGTCTCGTATGCATTAACCGTAATCGATGTTAAATATATAACCGTTTTTAAATAACACGCTTTTGATGATACGTCTCTGATAGACTGCATAAGGTAAAGGTTTCATTACTCGTGCTTGAAGGTAAAATAACAAGTTCTTCACAAATAATACTCAAGGGAAAAGAAACAATGCGCACGCCTGTTACGAGGAGATAAGATTTGACGTTATGAAGGACAGTTCTGAGACGCTGAGACTGGCAAGGACACTCCACGTCTCTAAGCAGAATATAGTTTTCTTTTCTTCTTCATATCGCGTTTTCAGAGTATATTTTTTCTTGTGTTATTTATGATACCACGAGGCTTGCTCATGTAAAAGGAACACAACTCACTAGATGTACAATAAAATATTATATAAAGTCTTAACGAAAAATATAAAGCAATTTGATAATATTAGCCATTATCTAATTGATATTAAAAAACGCAATAAGAGAAATGCATGAATTGCGCAGTAAAACTCGAGCCCTAAAATAGATTTCTTTAATTGGATACAGAATTATTCCATTTATAATATTTTAAATATTGAAATTTTACATATAAAATTCAGAATATAGTTTTAAATTAGGTATACGCGTATTAGGCAACTAGCTTGGCTAAAATATTCGTTAAAATAACTTAAATAAATATGGATATGAATAATTCTAATATTCTGTATATATTACACTCGTTATTCTGCAACTTAAAATACGCAAACGAAGTCCAAATTATGAAATTAATATTTATTTACTTTACTATAGTTACCGCCGTATAATTTAGTGAAAGTTACTTAATGCTGATGCGGCAGCGCAACGCTCCGAAAAAAACGCTCCTGTTTGAACGTATATCCTACAGGAAGAATATAGAGTTCCAAACTGAAGTGTCCCGAGAACATCCAGAAATTCATTAATCGAAGTATTTAAAAGTAATTTATAATTAATTGAATGACAACCGCAAACCCGCATAACGTAAACATTCGGCAGAGGACGACTGTGCACGACAGCGTTTAAAATCATGCATGCAGTTGCTACAGAAGAGCAGGTTTTTAGCGCATTTTCTCATTTATGGTAAAAATGCACTATTGTGCTCGCCATGTCCGTCTGTCCGTCCGTCTGTGTGTCCGTCCGTGACCTCAAGTTTTCGTCAACGAGAAAATGCGCTCTCTGTCACTCACTGCTGTGAGTACTGAGTTATATTATTTTTTTTCTACTCTGCTAAGATGTGCCGGGGAATGAAAGTCTACTTCGTAAAGATCGTTGACTTAACTCATTAGGGATTTGTGTTGTATGCGTTATTTTAAACTTACACTGCATTTCATAGGACAAAACTGTACAACCACTCAAGGCAATTAACGCACCCGCCTTAACAGTTATATTCCCACAGAAACCGTATTTAAGAATACAACACTATACAACCTTTGGAATAATTGAATAATATTCTATTATATATTAATATTAACTTCTACAAGTACTATGTACTGTTTAGCCCTCCCATGCGCTACAATCAACTTGATTGGCAAGCTCAATACACGTTCATTTGAGCGTAGTCATTGATTTGATAACAGGTAAATCTTACATCGACCGGTTAAGAGGCCCTGCCATATATATCGTTGGATAGCTGATAATGCTACAGCAACTCGTTAATTATAAGACCTCTCAGGCTTCTCAATTATCTAAACAGCTAGTTAATCTTGCATCGAGCGGTTACTTACGAGCCCTTTTACGATTATTTATCAAGATAACAAGTAATAATATTAGTTAATCTTGCATCGAGCGGTTAATTACGAAGTTACGAGCCCTTTTACGATTATTTACCAAGGCAACAAGTAAATCTAATATGAAACTATGAATAAAAGTTCTTTCTTAGACGGGACAATAGAAAAGAGCGATCTGATTTCAAGTAGAAATGTGAAGCCATGATACAGGAGCCAGCATGACACTGGCACATATTTGTACATGAATGTTTCCGAAGAATATCAGCTTACCGGAAAAGCGGAGTGAGTAACTCCATGTTGCACCACTCAGAACTACTAAACTACTATAAATGAGCATTTTGAAAGAATCCAAGTATAAAGTGAAACATGAATCATTGGCAAGATTCGACAGTATTTTTCCTGAGACACGAGAAACTAATAGCATTTCAAGTTCTTTGCCGCGGCACAAGACAAAATAGAAAGGGCAAAGATGCCGATTTTGGAGAATTTTCAAACACGAAGTCACGATAATCTTGCACATCGAATCTTCAAAATTTCATCGTGGGGAGGTAAGAAAAACGATCACAAATGCACTATACACTTCGTTATAAGTGAACAATACAAAGCGCTAAGATATCGCCTGTAGCTCAAAGGAAACGGCGAGATGCACTGAACAGTACCGACTGCAGATGTCATTTAAATACGAATATACGTGCACAGCTTATCGTAACTTGCACACCTCACTGATAATGCACACTACGTGAATCACTGATAACGGGAAATATTACGTCACAGAAGATCCTTGGGTATCACAACGAGAAAATCAAGGAAAATCCTATGGATGATGAAGCAAATAATTTTCCTCGAAAGCTTTGTTTGAAATTATTTCGATTCTGTTGCATTAGAATCGAAACCTGTAGGTGCATGAAGAACCTACATTACAAGAACAATGATCAGTTAAACCATAACTCCTTCTAATGAATCGCTGGAAAGTCCGCTGCATGATTCGGCACATGAATATTGTGGATCAAGTTGAGTTTTCAGCCATGGCGAAACACCAAGTCATTTTACTCCTCAAGAAAAAATCATTTTATACATAAATAATCTCAAACGATTACATTAATCCACTACCGTAAATACAATGACTTGTATAATGCTAAAGCACGTAAATCACGAACAGGCGAAACACTACTTCACAATAATGGATAAATTTATGGATAAGAAACCATATTTTAATTCTTTAATTTTCAGACAGTAAGAGTATTTACCGAGTCCAGAGATATCCAAGTCAAGAGATATCCACGAGCAATTCAGAGATATGCAAGTCAAGAGATGTCCACGAGCAATTCAGAGATATGCAAGTCAAGAGATATCCACGAGCAATTCAGGGACATACAATTCAAGAGATATCCACGAGCAATTCAGACATCCAAGTCAAGAGATATCCACGAGCAATCCAGAGACATCCAAGTCAAGGGGTATTCACGAGCAATCCAGAGACATATACAAGTCAAGAGATATCCACGAGCAATCCAGACATCCAAGCCAAGAGATATCCACGAGCAATTCAGAGACATCCAAGTCAAGAGATATCCATGAGCAATCCAGAGACATCCAAGTCAAGAGATATCCCCGAGCAATCCAGAGACATCCAAGTCAAGAGATATCCATGAGCAATCCAGAGACATCCAAGTCAAGAGATATCCCCGAGCAATCCAGAGACATAAAAGTCAAGAGATATCCACGAGCAATCCAGAGACATCCAAGTCAAGGGGTATCCACGAGCAATTCAGACATCCAAGTCAAGAGATATCCACGAGCAATCCAGAGATATACACATCATGGGAGATCGTAAGGCAACATGAAGAAAACCATAAGTGATACAATGCAAAAATCCAGTAGCAAGAATGCATCGTTGCAGAAAGTACTCGTGCGAACAATTTGTACATAGTCATTATCGAGTAGATAATAGAGGTAGCAATGCGAAGATTAAATACACATCCGATGCCAATTTATTAGTAATCACAGGAAAATATGCGTGTTCGACAATCTACCTAATGATGGTTACTTTGATCCCATTGTTCTTCAGACTGTCTTGGAGAAATGTAAGAAGATGCACGAACTTTTCGTCTACTGACGCTGACTGCCGTAAGGGCCTTTACATACAAATGACATTAATTGACGGTGGTTAATGTATCCGTATGCGAAGGAAGGGTTAGGTTAGGATGAACTATGCTAAACGCACTACATGAGATTCAAATGATATACTTTAATCTAAATTTTGACAGCGATGCTGCAATTTTTGAGGGGGAGCAATATATTTGCCAAAAAATTATTCACAACAGGAAAATAAGAGAATATAAAAAATTGATAGCAATTAATGAAGACTATAACAAGAACTCACTTAAAATCCAGATGAACAAATTCCTCAGAGCATCCGCAACATTCCTCTGGGTTCAGCAAATGAGTTAATGTAAGTTAAGTCATTCAAGAAATTTACATTAACTAAAGCACGTGATATTAGTTTAGAAAATTTAATTCTTATCTGAACTCTCAAGAGAACATACATAAGAGAACATAAGAGAACATAAATGAAGAAATAAACAATGAATAATTTCGCTGAAAATTTCTAGATAGCAGCCCTGTATAGGTCTGTATACCGGCACTGAAAGCAAAGAAGCGAATCCAATTAAAGAATCGTACGTCATTTAGACTTGCATATTGCAACAATAAGATGGAGAACGCTTCTCATTATAAGGTCTACATAAAATTCAACAATAATGCAAACAAATGCAACGACGACATTTAGTGACGTATATTGCGAAATAATTTAAGCACGCAAAGTGCATATATTGCAACAACAAGACTGAGTTCCCTACACATGATGAGGATATATAGCGTTTAAGAACTGATAAAGCAATTAAAATCACTTGACTGCTTAATCACTTAACTGACCACTTGAATTAATCACTTGACTGGTGAATTTTCTGGCTATTTTGCCAGAAAATTCTGGCTTGCTTTTAAATTTCTGATAAAGCAAGCGTCGTGGACATCGAGATGTGACTATTGCGAAATGATGCTAGCAAGCAAAATGCATATATATTGCAACAACAAGACGGAGTTCCCTACACATGATAGAGGCTACATAGCGTTCAAGAACTGATAAAGCAAGCGTCGGGGACATCGAGATGTGACTATTGCGAAATGATGCTGGCAAGCAAAGTGAGATTGGCGAGAAGAAGGCCAGCCAGAGAGGGAGATGTCGTCAGCAGCTATACCTTGCCATGACATCACAGTTGCTGCAGCAACAGCATACCAAGCGTGGCTTAGCTCGGTGCGGCAACATCAGCAACTTGGCTCGCTTCGTAACTATTTTAGCGCACACATAGAGCTATTTTTTACGTTTATTCCTCGAGCCACTCGCAAAACTATTGCGCGATCTTAACAATAGCCCCTTGCTATTATGGGTTGAATAAAAACCGCTTAAAAAATCCGTATGATAAAATATGAACCGAATTAATTACGGATTTGTTCATAGCATCAAAACATGCACATGCGTCCAAACATATTCCAACTCGCTGCATTTATCCTTTCTTCTGTTGACTTCAGATCAGCAACTTTTGGGCGAAACTCCATTTCTAGTTCTTGGTCGTAACTCCGATGTCCCGAACATAAATTTCTGTTAGAATTAATTTAAAAATTTCAATTCTGCACCCAAAACAAGCATGTCATTGAAGCTGCAACATATGACCACTAATCAGATCATCCAATATGTTCTCTACAATAGTTATGAGATCATACATATAAGATAATCCTCATGTATTCAGGACGTACACTGAGACAGGCCATGACGACATCGCCTAAACAAGGAGCAGTAGAGAAAGCAACTCCTGAGAACCAGCCGGCCGGACAGCTGGGCCAGGGAATTAGCCTATCATGGTCAATGATTGTTGATTAAACGTTGTTTTAGCTACATTGATTAAACGTTCTTTCAAACACGTTGATTAAAAGTTGTTCAAGTACGTTGATTAAACTTTGTTTTAAACACGTTGATTAAACGTTGTTTCAACCACGTTGATTAACCGTTGTTTCATCCACGTTAATTAAACGTTCTTTCAAACACGTTGATTAAACGTTGTTTCAACCACGTTGATTAAAAGTTGTTTCATCTACGCTGNCTAGTGCAGGTATTCTGCACTATCCTGGGACACAGAGCCCCGCAAGTGTCCTAGTGCAGGTATTCTGCACTATCCTGGGGACACAGAGCCCCGCAAGTGTCCTAGTGCACGTATTCTGCACTATCCTGGAGACACGGAGCCACGCAAGTGTCCTAGTGCAGGTATTCTGCACTATCCTGGGGACACAGAGCCACGCAAGTGTCCTAGTGCAAGTGGTCTAAGAGGAGGCTACCAAGACACACGCTGGCGTCAGTGCGTCGTCATAGCAACCAGCGCTTAAAGAAACACATCGAAGCAAGAAACACACCAGAATTATACAATAACAACGCAATTCTTATAATAATAAGTTTCAAAAAACAAATAATTTTCTATGAAACTTTCAGTTTAGTTTCAACTTTGTTCAGTACAATTACTCGGAGCTATTATGTTGCCCCATTAAACTGAGTTATTTTTACACACAAGTTTCAAATTTGAAGTATAAAAATAACACCAAACATTAACACTTAATTGTGTTTATTACGTAGCTTTCAGAAAGAATAGTTTGGTTTCAAAAACAGCACAGCTCCTGAAGAAAGAAATGAAAAACAACTAAAGTATAAAACGCTGATTGAAGATCGAGAACATAATGACTTTAAAAATTACCGTTCCTATTAATTCACAAAGGGCTAACAATAGTATTTTGGACCCCCCCCCCCGTACCTGCTTGACTGAGAAGGAACCAAGCGACTCGGGGCGTGCGGCTCGCGTAGACTTTAGACGCACTGCTCTCCCTGGACTATCACCAGCCATTCATGATATTGCAAGGCTTACAAATGCAATGTAAACTTGAAGGCGGTCAATAAGATCACCTCTAGAAATGAAGAAACTGTCACACTAATTGTCCTGATTAATTAAACAGTGGCTCGATTTCAAATCTCAATAAGAACTGGCTTGTCTGCTCAAGCAGTTAACAGAACAGCGGATTTATATATAAAAAAACTGGACGAACTAAGTAATTCGCAGGCATGGAGTATTATTTGTGATCACGATGATGTTCCCTCCAGGATATCAGCCGCGAATATCAAGTGTCATCACGGGAGAGCGTTCGTTTGGTATTCAGGAAATAACTACGTATAGAAAAATTACTGAAAATATCGAATGACGTCAAAGGATTTTACTACGAAGACGAAGGAGGATCTCCAGCGGTTGCCCACTTCCTTATCGCAGCGAGAAACTCATTACGATATGTAATCACAACTTTTTCCTTTATTTAAGACGCATTTCTTACAATAAAGATCCTTGATTAAAATTAATAAAATTTTATTATACGATACTATAAAGCTGGATCTTCAAAAGGCCATTTACAAAACTTATCAGTCACCGCGAGCACACCGGGCACGACTACCACCCTCCCGTCCAACAGCTGGTCGACGACTGCCGCTGCGACCGTCCCCACAGCTCGCTGCACAAGCCACCACCCACCTAAGCAACAGCATCGAGAGTGAAGCACTCACTATTTTTAATCTCAGCGATGTGCAGATTTACGTGGTTACCTTGGAGCTCTTTTCGCGTCCTGGCATCGTTCGAATTAAATTCCCTTAGAGTTTACGTTCCTTCATCTTCTATGGACATGGGCGCTGCCTTTTAAGCTCTCCGGTGAAAACAGGTTTAATAAATCATTGAATACCCGTCATTTCTCAATAACAATTTAATTATCCACGTCATATAGCATTTTAATTACCCACGAAGCAATATATTTCTTCATTTGAAAGAAGAAGAAAGAAAAATATGAGTACGCAAATGCTATTTTGAAACGAGCTAAACGCTCTTCCATTGAACCCAATATACTAGGTTCTGTGCTATAATATCGCAACCAAATTAAATGTGCGTAAATATAAGCTGTGAACAAAGTGGGCGGTTATGAGATACACGATTCAGCGCCTGAATGAACTGAAGAAATACACGTTATTTGTGCGTCACACGTGATACACGAGAGACACTTGTGCGTCACACGTGATACATGAGACACGTGTGCGTCACACGTGATACACGAGACACGTGTGCGTCACACGTGATACACGAGAGACACGTGTGCATCAAACGTGTGAATTTTTTTGCAAGCGTATGTATGTGTTAACACCAGCCGTCCTTATTCAAAAGTGTCGTTGATTCAGGTTTTTTTGAACAGGATACATAGGCAGCGCCTGGCATAATAGAATTCCATTGTAGAAATTTCTGCGGGATTGATCATTAACTTTTCTAATTCAGGATGACATCGCATAAGCCATCCGGTTTCTTTGTCAGATCACATTGGTAATAATAAGTTTCAAAATATTTAAGTTAAATATTTTGATTAGATTATTGAACATTTGCGCGGTCAAGCTCCAGCCAAAATCTGCTTCAATTCTCAAGAGATGGGAAGTCACTTTACAGACGTTAGAATCTCCATCGACATCACTACAAGCATGCAAAAATATTGTATAAAACAAAATTTAGCAGCAGTTATACAGCATAATAGCAATACTGTGGCTATAATCAACATCACAAGCAGAAAGTTGGTGGCATCTCACTCTCCATCAGCAACATACCAACGTAAATTAAGAGCAATGCTCGTTTAAACCATTTTAAGAATATAGAAAAAAAGAGCATCAGCAACCAAGCTGGCTTCGCCCACACCGCAGCTCCCTGCATGTAGAACACGTGGGCGGTGAACGCTGCACGACCGCTACGCCTGCATTGTAGTATATTGCTATATGCGTCTTGTACATGTTTTGGTATAGTATTTAGTATACATGGTATATCTATATGCGTCTTGTACTTGTTTTGGTATAGTATTTAGTATACATGGTATTGCTATATGCGTGTTGTACTTGTTTTGGTATAGTATTTAGTATACATAGTATTGCTATATGCGTCTTGTACTTGTTTTTGGTATGGTATTTAGTATACATAGCATTGCTATGCGTATAGTACTTGGTTTTACATTGGTATATAGTTTACATAGAATAGCTTTCCGTGTTGCATTTAGTGCAGTTACTGCTGTTGTTGCAATGTTAGCGCAGGGTGGATGAATCTGTAGTCTAAGCTACGGCGAAAAACTTCTACATGGAAGACTTGCACACATTTTTTCGTTTTAGTTTTGTATAATTTTAATATATTTCAAACTAGATATAAGGCGGGACAATTTCTAAGGTACAGCTATGCCCAACCAATCCAAGGCTTCCATTAATGCATTTCAAGAAATATTGTATTATAACAAAATGTATAAATGATATCAAGAAAGCACAATAGCTTGTTACATAAAAAATTTTTGTTAAAATTGAGCAGCATGGAGGTCCACAAGAACAAGCTCTCGTTTTGCTCTCATAAATTTTGGAGAGATTGCAGGAACCTACGCATGGAAGTATAAGCGTTCGAACGTGGGATTCGAGAGGCTGGTCGAGAGTCTCTCCTACGCCGCAAGAATGTCAACACTTTCAAGTGTGGGCGGTAATAGAAGCAAAATATTGGTTCTTTGTACATGAAACTGACTTCAGTTTTGTTCGTAGCAGAGATAAGGGGAGAAAGAGAGGCCAGCACCCTATACTACTAAGTCAATGTACAACAAGCCCTTGAAATGTAACCTAAAATATTTACAGCCATTGGCTCTCATATTAGTCGTTTTCTCGACGCTTTAAAGATAAGTCATTGATAAAAATTGAGTAGGAATAAAGTGCAGCGATAAAAGCACTAGATAAGAAAAATGTATTTAAAGTCTTTATAATTGCATTCATGAAGAAGACGTACGCAAGTGGCCGAACAAGTGAATATCACCAGAAACGAAGAGAACAACAACACAAAACCAATAAGATTTCTTTATTGCAGTAAAGCTAGTGTAAACATGCAGAAAGTCACGCGGCACACTGCAGGCGAGCGAGTAAACAGAAGCTGCTCCTGTGCCATAAAATAGAAGACATCGCCTGCAGAAATGTTTTGCGTACATATACGCCCCCGCCTGTCACAAGCGAGGTCATCACAAAACATGGTTCTGTGTTGATCAACAACCAAAGACCATCCCGCACGTTAATTCAGCAAACAAGCTTTTTTTATCGCATGCCTGAGCATAGGCTAATTCATCTTTTAGTTTTATTTTTTATTTCATCTTAGACTGAACCATGACACTGTTTACACGAGCAGTTATCAAGACGGAGAGAAAGCAACTGCATGCAGTGGCTGCTCCCTGCTAGAGCAACACAATGAGCTATGGTTTCTGAACTCGAAGCAAATCACCCAAGGAGGTAATTAATATATTTTCGGAGTTAAAGGAGGTTGATCGGAAAATTTGACACGTACTTTTCCAAAATACACGCGAAACCAAGATACACCATATCAATTAATCAACGCATAATGTGTTAATGTTAAAAACATTTTTAGAAAGGCGTAACATTCTTACGGCTGCATGTTAAATTTGGTACAAGGAGTACATTTCTAGCAGCCACTGCACCATGAGAGAGCTGCATATAGAGAACGTTTGAGCCGCAGTCGGCACGGAAACGATGCTATAAGACCGCAAACGAACACAGCCTAATTAAACACCTCCTGTTATACATGCATGACTCGATTGACAGCTTCCGGAGTCAGGACCATGAGGCGACACTTAATTGTGATGATACGTCCAAAACAATGAACATTTGTGGCAATACAATTATTTGAACTTAAACATATATATGCACCCATGGCTCTCAATGGCAAAAACAGTATGATCGATGTTACTAAAACCAAAATATTGCTGGCACAATTGTCCAATACTACAACGCTTGAGAAGTCAATTAAAGTGCTAAAGTAATAACAATTGTAAATACACCGTCATCATTGCGAGAAAGTATATCGAAGGTGCTTGACTGCACAGCAAAATATTTCAATGTGCGGGTATCGATTGGATGAATGATTCGATACTTTGACGGTTGTAACGGAAGGTAATGGTATAGTTACGAGAACGATACGAACAATTCGCTAATATTTACGACTGAGTAATTACAGTCCACTGCTATAAACTGTTGTGTAACGCGCGAGTGATTAGAAAATACGAAAGCTGTCAGACGTGAATGATTTTTTCCGTGACATCATGTAAGCCGTTATGAATCTGCAGAACTTGTAATTGTAGAAGAATGTACTTCCCGGGCCGTACTATTATCTCTTACGTAGACGTAGCAGCCGATTTCTCTTCAGTGATTGGCGGGTTTAGCTTGAAAATCCATCAGTGATTGGCTGAAGTTATGAATTCTTAACTATTTCGATAGTGCAGCCCCAGGTGCCATTGGTGATTGCTGACGGAATTACGAACTCGTAACTATTTGCCCAGGTGCATGCGGCCACCACAGGCGCGCTGGTCGAACATAAGACGCCGCGCAGCGTCGGCGCTCAAGTGTAGGCTGGTCGTGGGAGGAACCGTTCAGTTCACTGATCTCTACACGCACGCAACACCTACACTATATCAACTAGCACTATACTCACCTACACTATATCAAATATCACTCTACTCCCACGCACTATACTCGCCTACATCATATCAATTATCACTTATACCTGCTAACTTTCATCCAACTGATCATCACGGAAGCAAGTTATTACGGCAATTCTCATCGTTTCAGATACAGCTTGTCTGTATAATACATTAATAAACCAATAACATAAAAATAGTTATATAGTAGTTTATATAGTTATTAATAGTAATAAACCAATAGTTTATTATTCATACAGATTGAACTAAACAAACAGATTTATGAACACTTAATAAATACCAATTAAAGATGCGACACACCGAAACTTATTGTATTTACTTGCAAATTTTGATATGGGAATGATATTATATAACAAAACGCAGATCTGTGCGGCGATGTGAAACCGTAATCGATTTAAAGTTACTTCTGAATATGATAAATTATGTTACATATTAACGAAGTAAAATACAGGGCCTATACTTTTAAAAAAAGTTAAGAGATCGTAAGTTCATCAGCCAATCATTGACGGCCTTTCAAGTAAAATCCACCAATCATAGACAAGAAAATAGAGCGTAAGTACTTACGTTCACTTAGCGACTTTTGAAAGTATGGGCCCAGATTAAGAAAATTAAATTAACGCATCATTGACAGGATATTATTGCATAATAAATGAACTGAATGCGGTTCCGAACAGCCGATATCTTACAAGCCAGGGGCATTTACACGCTTCTATTTCATTTGATCCTCTCATTAGTTCCATTATTCCTATATATAGGGCACGTCAAACGATCATAATAACGTAATTAGTTAACGTTATATCAAGCCTATGCCACAATGCAGCAAGTGGTGTGATCACCAGGGTTATTTTGGCATAAACAAAAAATTTAGTAATGTAAGGACAAATGTAGCTCATTTACAGGCAATTTATCAAAATATAGTAA